TGCCATGTAAGGCTGTACACAGCTATAAAGAGCTATACAGAGCTCTACAAAGCTATACACAGCTATACACTGCTATACAAGGCCATACACAGCTATACAGGGTCATATTAGGCTATACACAGCTATAAAGAGCTAGACACGGCTATACAAAGATATACACAGCTATACACGGTTATACAGGGCTATAAACAGCTATACACCCATACAGAGATGTGCAAAAATGGTTGAAAGAAATACTGACTTCCCGTTGCTATTCTATTGAACGCTCGTCATCGAAATCGTTTTCAATATTGCTGTAACGATTCAATTTGCATCAGATTTATTTGTTCCTGAAAGGTGGAGGATTAGGCACATCAAAAACGAAATTAAGGGCGTCCGCAATTGTGTCTACTAGAGTAAAAATAAACTAAATAGGCTAACACCTTAATTTCCGCGAGTGTTGAGTTGAAATGGCGTTACTTTCAAAAATTATATTGTTAAACCTTACTCAGGGATCAGTTTGTCATCTAGTAGGTATAAAAATGCCGTAAAATGGATTTTCATAAAATTTATTAATCCGGAATAGGCCGTAAATATCACTTAAGTGCTCAAGCGATCGTAGAAAACCTGCAGAGCTAAACGAAAAATGTTATCCACTACTTAGTTGTTGATTCAAATGGCAGCAATTGAAGCAAATGCAGACTCTCTTCTTAAGTCTTCCTGTAACAGGTAACCTGTTCTTTCGAATCATTCTATCTTTTTTTTTACACACAAATTGTCTTTTTTACGTGTTTATTTCTTTGATAACACTCTTTTACAACAAGTAAAAAAGAGAATGCCGTCAATGAGGGAATGCAGAACTATCGTTGAAATACGAGTAATTCAGAAAACTACTGTGGTCAATTAAACAAGCAACAAAATGTACTTATTCTGAAGCAATCCAACATGAACGAGTTCGCATACGACTAGTTATACCTTTTCCAACATAAACATGAAATCTATGTAATCACTCAATTTTGACACAAAGCTGTATTTTCTTAGTAATTTCTCTGTGGATTAATAGTGTGGATTAGAAATCAGGAATCACTGGTCATCTTTTCTCGTGTTTTTCATCCATTAGAGTCTGATTGGACATGAGATCTGACAAGGGTAACTTTTTGAAAACATTCTTTTAGCATAAAGAGCGGATTTAAAAGGTAACGGAAGTGAAACCTTCAAAAATTTCATTGAACAGGATAGAGTAGTCTTATCTTATGTGTATTTTACGACTCAATGCTTCTTAGGTGCGTTATTTTAACCGCGATCTGTGCTGTAGACTTCGCAGCTATGTTTTAAGACATGTCCATAACAGCAGGAGACAAATCATGCAATCTTTTTTAATTTATGGAACGTCCCTGACTTAGCAACACGTCCCGGCAAACCATCAAACAAAGCGTTTCAATGTTTCTCCAGGTTCCACAATCCACCCCTGTATTTTAACCTATTATAATCTTTCACCCCTTTTTCCATGGAGAGACGGTCGCCCTATTTCGCTTCTTTCGTTTTAGGGGTTTTTCCCGGGTCAGCTCGAGCTTGAAGAAGTTTCCGCAATTAAAGCATCTGCAGGCTTCGGTGCATCCTATGCCACCCGCTACACACGAACACTTATACTTGCGGAGACCGTCTTGACACGACTTGTGACTTGCATTTTGTTCTCTAGCCCCTTTGCCTTTTTTTCCGTCTCCGCACCTACAGCCTCTCTTCAGACTCTTTTTTATTATCACAACTTCATTGGAATTGCATGTATTTTGCAATTGTAACATCTACACGAGCGGGTACAAGAGTGGTTCATTTTGTGGCACGGGCATTTACCAGAAACACAGGAAATATCTGAAGACTTATTTTTCTTGTTTTTACCGCAAGTGCATCTTGTTTCCTTCGCTTGTTCGTCACAGTCATTATCACTTGAAACTTCTGAAACGATGAAACCATGTCAAGAATTAATACAATGGTTTTCGACAAGGTTTCGACAAGTTAAAAGTCATTAGTATATACCAAAGCAGTGGATAGCGTTGTTAGTACACACTGTTTTAGTGTGTACTAAAAAAAACTATTCGCCTCAGTGTCGTGGCTAGTAGTGGATATTTACCAAGCCGCTTCGCGGCTCGTTAAATATCCACTTCAAGCCACCTCCACTTCGATAAATAGTTATTAATTCACAAATGAAGAAGACATCGTTTTCTCCATTAAATGATTTCCGGCTCAATTTACGTAAGCATTAACAACTTAGTACTAGTTTAAGACTTCAACCCAATAAAGGTGCCAAGACATCGGGAGGATCTCGAAAAATTCTCAGTTCAAACTTCGATATGTAAGGGAGTATGTAACATTATCAGAATTCATTATAGCTAGTTTAACCTGGGGTTGTTTAACAGTTATTAAGTATTTTTTGTAGCATCATAGTAGCCGGACCCAGAATAATCACATGCAATGTAGATGGGTGTGGTAGTAAGGAACTCGTGTGATAGGAATGGCACCATAGGGGTTGAAGGGAGAGTGGTAATAATCACAATTGGAATTTTCAAGAGTTTAGCTGTTGCTCTCGCACATAAATCACCAACTTCATTTGCAAAAAATCCGTCTTGGCTAAATTTGTAAACTTCCTCTAACTCATTAACGCCGGTTGTCATCCAGTCTTTGTACTCTTCAATGTTATCAGAGGCTTCTCTCACAAACAGCTCCCTAAGTCTACGTGTGTCGAAAGCTTCACTAATCCAAGGGAAGTGCAGTGCTCTTCGATATGTTCCCTGTATCCCCTCAAGTGTTTACTGAGCCGCGAGGTAACTGCTCTGAAAAAACAGTTTCCATTTTTTGCGATCTTGTCAACTTCAAGGTTAAAACCCGAAAGGTTCCTCATTAAATAATCCATGTGTTGAGCAGTTAAGTCTAATTTCAAAGAATCCATCTTCATCTCTCCTTCTATAAACTTTTCAGTTTTAAAACTGGTGAACCAAAGGAAAGCCAGGATATCTACCGTTTTTTTTTACATCTTTCCGTACAGGCGTCCATAAAATCTTGGAGATGTAGAACTCTTTAGATGATAAAAGCTATGATACTCCGGGTTTAAAGTTGCTCTACGAGTCCCGGAAAATTTACGTTACTCCGTGTGCTCATGAAGTCCTCTGCATGAGAAATTTCAAGTTGCTTCATGCTTCAAAGGTTACCTTCTCTAGTTATTTCAACTGGCATAACAGGCTTAGCTCTCGAGGTCAATCTGTTAATTTGTCGTTTGCAATTCCAGGCAAACAGTGCACAACTCATTAATACATTTCGCTTGTACGATTACGTAATCACAGGCATAACTCCTCTGACAACTCCACGCCCTTAATTTAATTTTTGATGTGCCTAATTCTTCGCCTTTCAGGAACAAATAAATCTGATGCAAATTGAATCGTAACAGCAATAGCTCTTTATAGTTTTGTATAGCCTTATATGGCTCTGTATAACAATGTATAGCCCTGTATATGTGGGAATAGCTCTGTTTATCTGTGTATAACTTTGTATTGCTGTGTATAGCCCTGTATAGCTATGTATAGTCCTATATAGCTGTGTATAGCTCTGTACAGCCGTGTATAGCTGGGTATAGCCTTATATGACCCTGTATAACAATGTATAGCCCTGTATAAGTGTGTATAGCTCTGTTTATCTGTGTATAGCTTTGTATTGCTGTGTATAGCCCTGTATAGCGGTGTATAGTCCTGTATAGCTGTGTCTAGCTGTGAAGAGCCAGGTATAGCTGTGTATAACCCTGTATAGCTGTGTAAAGCTCTGTATAGCTGTGTATAGCCCTGTATAGCTTGCCCTGCATAGCTGTGTAAATCTCTTTATAGCTGTGTACAGCTGTGTATAGCCCTGTATCGCCGTGTATAGCTGTGTATATCCTTGTATAGCCTTGTATAGCTGTTTATAGCCTTATATGGCCCTGTATAACAATTTATAGCCCTTTATATGTCGGTATAGCTCTGTTCATCTGTGTACAACTTTGTATTGCTGTGTATAGCCCTGTATAGCAGTGTATAGCCATGTATAGCTGTGTATAGCCCTGTATAGCTGTGTATAGCCCTGTATAGCTGTATTTAGCTCTGTCTAGTTGTGTATAGCCCTTTATAGCTGTGTATTGTCCTATATAGCTGTGTATATCTCTTCATAGCTGTGTATAGCAGTGTATAGCACTTTATAGCCCTGTATAGCTTTGTATATCTTTGTATAGCCGTGTATAGCTCTGTATGGCTGTGTATAGCTCTATACCTGTTTATAGCCTTATATGGCCCTGTATAGCTATGTATAGCCCTATATGTGTGGATATAGCTCTGATTATCTGTGTATAGCTTTTTATTGCTGTGTATAGTCCTGTAAAGCTATGTATAGCCCTGTAAAGCCGCGTATAGCTGGGTATAGCCCCGTATAGCTGTGTATAGCCTTGTATAGCTGTGTTTAGCTCTGTCTAGCAGTGTATAGCCCTGTATAGCTGTGTATTGCCCTGTATAGCAGTGCATATCTCTGTATAGCTGTGTATAGCTCTGTATAGCTGTGTAGAGCCCTGTATAGCCTTGTATATCTTTGTATAGCCGTGTATAGCTCTGTATAGCTCTTAATAGCTGTGTATAGCCTTATATGGTCCTGTGTAGCTGTTTATAGTTCTGTATAGCTGTGTATAACCCTGTATAGCTGTATATAGCTGTGTGTATCTCTTTATAGCCCTGTATAGCTGTGTATTGCTCTGTGTAGCTCTTTATAGCTGTGTATAGCCTTGTATGGCCCTGTACAGCTGTGTATAGCTCTGCTTAGCTGTGTATAGTTGTTTATAGCCCTGTATAGCTGTTTATAACTCTGTATAGCTGTGTATGGTTGTATCTAGTTCTGTTTTACACTGTATGTGTGTGTAGGATATTATATGTAAAGTATAGGGAATAATTATATGACTGTATGGAAAGTATAGGACATAATTTGCATTGGAGACAGAATTATTTATCAGTACCCTTCACTTACGTCACGTCTTGAAAGGGAGGAATATGGTCATTTTAGCTATCTATTATCTTCTGCGCACCGATTTCTTTTAGATCTGGACGAAAGACTGTGTTATCAAAATAGATCAAATTTTTTTAAAATGGCGAGGAAAAGTTATGACTACCTTTTCAAATTGATCCTTGTAGGAGACTCAGGCGTCGGGAAGACGGACATTTTATTTCGTTTATCTGACGATGCATTTAACACGACGTTTCAAACGACGATAGGTAAGTGAAAGTGACAATGTCTCTCTGTTTAGCTGCTCGACCCGTAAGCTTATTTAACAAATAGAGAAGCCTTGACTGTCCTCTGTTCTGTTATAAAGCACTTAGGAAGCGGCCAGAGCACGAAAGAAGTGTAGGGAGAAACACGAGACGTAGTCGAATGTTTTTCCCCTCTTCTTGAGTGCTCTGGCCGTTTCAAACAGAACAGAACAGAGCGCAGTCAAGGCTTCTCTATTTGTTTTATAATAAAGAATCCGTTCAATTCCCCAAGAATTACTCTAAATT